AAAAAACATTTTTTGATAAAAGTTTTGGTGCTAGGATGAGGTGTGTGTGTTTTTTTTTGGCCGTTTCTGTTGGGTACCAGGTCGGGTTTTTCTTCCTTTTCAGCTCTGACCATCAGAGCAGCTTCACGACTGCGGGTGTTTTTGACAACTTTGATCTTTGTCAATAAAACATCTAAACTTTTATCCTGCCTCTGTGAGTTTCTGCATGTGGGCTCAGAAATTAAGACCCACCTTGACAGAACACTCTGGCCAGACTGAGAGCCAAGCAGAAACCATTCGCAGAATGCTTCAACAACAGCAGGACTCTATTCAGAACCATGAAGCGGCTCTCCAGGAACTGGGTAACTGTCAGGCGGAGACCAACCGCCAGCTAGCCGAACTAACCAGTTTCCTTCGATCTCGTTTTCCACAGACCTCAGCTGCCTCCTCAACTCTAGATCCAGCCCCAGAGAATCTTTCAGCTCCAGAATCCGTCTCAGAGGCCCCGGTCCAGTCCACATTTTCTGACTGTCATCTGCCCAGTCCTCCCAGGTTTGATGGGGATCCCCAAAGATTTAGGGGATTTCTAATGCAGTGTAACATCCAATTTAATCACTCACCCCATAGATTTGCTCTGGATTCAACCAAGATCTCTTATATAATTGCACATTTGTCAGACCGTGCCTTGGATTGGGCTGAAGTGAGGTTTTCTTCTTCTACTGACTTTAACTGCACATATGAAGAGTTTTTATCCGAGTTCAAACTAGCATTTAATCAGGACATTGACAAGGGTCTGAGCTCCCAAGATTTGTTAAAGACGAGACAAGAGCAAAGATCTGTTGCAGATTTCTCTATTGATTTCCGCATCCAGGCGGCGGCTTCAGGTTGGAATAGTTCAGCCCTCAAGAGTGTGTACATAAATGCGCTAAGTGACCAAATCAAAGATGAACTAGCAACCTTAGACGAGTCTAAGACTTTGGAGGACTTAATTAGACTGTCCATCCGGCTACATAATAGAATTCGAGCCCGAGCTAAGGAGAGGGGCAGCAGGAACCCACCAGTCAGAACTTTCAGTCC